CTGAGAAAAACTTTGAAAATAACCATAATGACGCAGTCTCCATGCTACAATAATAATGATAGAAGCAAAGTTTTTCATTATGGGGACATATCTTCATAAGTACAATTTGACTGTATTATTTGTGTCCCCTTCAAAAATTGCTCATGAGAAATTTTATATTTATTGTCCCCCTCTACTGTTAAATGAAATTTACGCCCATGCTCCTGTCCATGGTGGACCCCACCCTTGTGTCCTCTGCTGCCTGGGAAAGTTTCCAAGCGCTCCCCAAGACCCTGACCCAGATAAGCGGATAGGAAATGGACGGATGGATGGATGGATATTATTAAATGATTTATTGACTGTAGGTAGGATAAACTGGACATAAACCCTTTGATTTATATTCCCATTGAGGGATGTGAATAGAGTTCTCACAGTAAACTCGAAGTTCACTTACTGTATATAATACATATGCTTAGTTTCCATTTTATTACACAGCAAATGTGCCAGTGTTAAATTAACACTGCATGGTGTCTATATGGGTCCACACCATTCAGTGGTACCTTTAACACTTTACAGTGTGCAGTGAGTGTTGTTTTTACAATGTTGTTTATTAACTCTTATAGTGCTGAATTTACAACCTAGAGTGTTGTCAAAGAGTCTCCACCTCCACATATTTACCCACCATCATGAGAAAGACTCTGACCAAACAGGACCTTACAGCTTTTTCTCGTTTTATATTAAAACTTTGTTGGCTCGGTTCTGACTGATCTTGAAGATTAGACAGCTGTGGTCTTCTAGCATGTTGCTATTGAGTCAGAAGAAAAACCTTTGGAGATGTACAGGGCATGTTTCCAGAGTGGTATGTTTGACTGCCAGTCCTGCCCTTGGATGACTAACATATGTGGAAAGATGTTAGGACAGGTGTGATACCCTTTTCTGTGCAGCTCCTGGTACCACCCCCTCTCCTGTAGACCAATGGTACTGGATGTATATTTGCATAGCATGACACAATATTGTTTTTGACTTAATAGATATATATTTTTTAATCCACCTCGATTGTGATGAATAAGGCAAGCGAACGAAAACCACAGAAATGGCTCTTGCGTGCTAGCCAGGAACCAGGTGGGATGGTTTAGCCTCTATGGCTTAACTAGAGAAAGCATTGGCTGGGAGGAAAATACTATGGAAAACCAATCATTTTGTTTCTTTTCTAAGCCTGGGCTCTCTAGGAAGATCATTTGGACATTATGTGCCTTGTCAATTGAGATTTCTTTGGGGATACACATTAGGGTGACCAGATAATCCATGTCAGGGAGGACACTTTGAGCTACTTCGGGTTTTACAAACTACTTCCAAATTAAAAGGCTCCTGTGCTCGGCTAAAGAGTTCAGCGCTTCTTGTGCTTTGACTGGTTTGTTTCCTTGACTGAAAGACTCATCCAGCTGTTT